TATAAATAAAATTATAAAAATATAGAATTTTTCATATTTTTAGCAAAAAATATTTTTTTTTTTTAAATGTAAATTAAGAATTGAACAAAATCATAAATTCATATTTATACCAAAATTTTTTTACATGGAATTCAAATTTAATGTTCATGAATTATTTATAACTTTACAAAGTTAAATTTAACTTAAACAAATAACAACTAAATCCATTTCTAATTACTATTATCAAATATTTATAGTATAGTACATCTCAATTAGGTTGACACCTACTTTTATTATAATTTATAGTTTAAGTACATCCCAACTAGGTTGACACCTACTTAAGTCTTAACTATAATTTTTTTTTCAAATTTTTAAATTTTTTTTCTTCACGGGCCGCGGGTTAACCGCGGCCCGTGAAGGTGCAACCCGCGAAACTCGTGGGTCACACCTCCTTGACCCGTGAACCGCCCGCTCGGGTCACGGGTCGGCTCAACGGTCCCGGGTCGATTCGGGCCAGTTTTCACGGGTCTGGCCGACCCGTCCGTCTTGACACCTCTACTTGCCCGTGTTCAATTTTTCCTACAACTATACTCGACCTCATATTTACTAAAATTCGAGGTTTATATGCCTCCAGATTCCTACTCTTTGGTGAAATATCTATCTTTTTGGGTCTAAATGAGAGAGATTTTGGGAGAAAACTTGAGCATATTCATAAGCTTCTTCTCAATGGTGAAGTTATAAATCATGAATATCCAGCAATATCCATGGAGATGTCATCAGAACATTGAAAATACGAACACAATGGAATAAATTGAACATAAAATAACTCAAAACTACTAAAATAGAAAAAAAAAATTTGAACATAAATAGGAACACGAGAACTTAAAGAGAGTAAAATTATCGAACTATAAAGTGTGATACGAAAACTGTAAGAATTCGCAGCATTCTTTAACATGAATTTCAGGTCAAGAAACTTACTTGAAATGATGAATTTCAAGATCTTTTGATGATTGAATCACCTTGCATTCCAAACCTCCAAAATCTGCATTTCTTGTTCTCCAATGGTCCCAATTCCGACCACAATGGTTGTGAATTATTATCCACAATCTAAGTGTCAATTTTTGTAAGATTTCATATCCAAAATATGGTTCTAAGTACTTTTCAATTTTGGTGTAATTTTCCATACGAATTTTCCATTGTTTTTCATACCATTTTTTTTTTCTCATTTTCCAATTCATAATCATTGGAGATTGTATGAGAGTTAATGGTTGTTATAGGGAGTTGCATGTTTGAACTTCAAATTCAAACCACTCTCTCCAACCATTTCAATAACTTGTGGGTCAAGTCATCCCACATGGGCGACCCACAACCCGTATTTTTTTTAACAAAAACAAATTTCTTCAACATAGAATTGTCCTTACATTGATACTGATAGGAAAGATGGACATTGTAACATTGTCTCCCGATACATCGTTGCATTGAACTCGATGAATGAGATAGGAAATTACTCTTCTTGACTGCAATAAACTTGCCTAAAATTCTCGAATCATGGAAGGAAGTTACAAATAGTAGGAGTATTCTGGACAGTTTCAAATGCATATAGTGAGTTAATTCATAGGTTATTAACCAAAATTTTAAAACTACGTACGGTCACAACGTAACTGTTAGATCACATTGTACATACATAAATATATCAATTATGTATATTATGGTATCCACTTTAACTCAAAACTAGCTTTCATAAAATTTTCATGAGAATTCTTGAAACCAAGAAAAAGACATTTAAGTAATTAATCACTTCAATAAATTTTTGAGCAATATAAACAATTGAAACATTTGACATAAATTGTTGTAACTCGTATTCAATATTTATATTCAAAGCTTGACGGCTGTGTAGGATAAAATAATGGAGAATCAAAGTAATAGATTAATCAAACCGAAGGCCCTTGTTCACACGGTTTCCTTAAATCGAATTCGCCGCCTCACCGGAGTGCAAGAGGTTTTGATCGGTGTTCGATTCCTAGGATACAATCGGTTGTTGGTTCACGTTGCACTACGTTAACCGCCTACGAACCCGCCGTGTCTATCTCTCAAAGATTTCAGCAAAGGAAGAGAAAGAATGAAGACACAAGCTGCTAGAATTGAAATGGACGAGGAAACTGGATTTCCTTTTCTCTTGTTGTGTTTTCTAGTTTTTGTTGTGTTTGCTTTCAATAAGAAATCCTCTATTTATATACATAGATGAGGTGCCAAGTCTTTAAAGCATTGAAAGGAAGGTTACAGCATTGAAGAGCAAACCAACCGGATGAAACTGATGAGAACAAGAAGGGTCTGAGTCTGAAACTGATGAAACTGTGAAACTGTTGATCTGATTTTCATTCAATTTCATTCAATATTTCCAGCAATCCCCTACATGAGCTTTGAACCTTCCCTTGTGAAAATCTCTCGGGTATTACTAGCAAACCAGTGTATCTGATGCCTTGAACTGTTTCACTATTTGTGTAAACCAAGACAATGGACCTCACACAGGACCATTCTAGACACAGCGTAGTTCTCAATGTTGTGTTCGTTTTGGCCATGAACACGTCGCCTGATTCTGTAAGTGTTTGTTCAAGGATGTAGCCTTTCCAATCCTTATAGAAGCGGCCCCACTTCACATTCACATAGGTGACCTCTTAACTCAGCCTTTCACAACAACGCCTAATGGTCATTAAAAGCGTAGCTTAACCTGCATCTTCCAATCACTGTGAGCACCATAGGAATGAGTAGAAGGAAAACCTTCTCAGTAATTTACACGGATATATATGGTTTAGTTGTCCCTTTGAACCTAGATCCTGGGATCTCCATTCAGCTAGGTTGGGTTTCCACCATGATACCTTTCAACGTCATAGGCTGCAAGCCCATTCCCCTCGATGCTTTTTCAACTAGCTCTCGAGTTAACCCTTT